GCCCGGCCCCCTGCCGTTCGGCTTGGATATCGGGAACAATTCCCTCACCCGGAGGGCTGCCGAGCCTCGGAGCAGGCTGCTCGATGATCTCAAAGATCTTTTCCAACCCAAACGATTCCACGATCCCCCAATTCCATCACCGCCGAGCGATCCTAACCCTGTTCCCCTCTCCGTCCCCCAAGCGTGGCCGTCACCCGATCCAAAGACGTCCCGCCCTTCGGACCCCCCATCCCCAGCGGCGTCACCTTCCGCAAATCCGACGTCTTCCGAGATTTCTTGCTGGCCAAAGTGATCAATGCGGAAAACGCCGCTCACAAATCGGACAAATTTCACACCATGGCGACGCGAACCCGGCAGGAATACCTGAAGGATTTAGCCGAAAACTGCGTCACCAACACGCCCATCGATTCCGCCGGGAAGTTCAACCTCATCTCCCTGGCTTCCAAAAAGAAGGAGAAGACGAAAGCGCGAGCCGGGGCGGAACAACACAGCGCGGGGGCCATCGCCTGGCGCGTTTCCGCTCAGGATTTCGCCCGGGGAGCGGAAATCGCTTGCGCCTTGGGTATTTCCAACGAATTCGTCGTCCTGCTCGACCTCAGCGCCAAGGAAGTCGTCTTCAACTGCTTCTGCGGTGACGTCATCGGCTGGACCGCCGACGCTTCCACCGTCAAGATCTTCTACGGTCGAGGCGATCACATTTTCATCCGGGCGGCTGAGGGCGGCCCCGAGGACATCAAGGAGATCGTGCAGAGGCTGAAGGTGAGCCCCAAAATCCCCCTCGAAGCCGTTGGCGTCGGTCCTAGGACACGCTCGGGATGTTTTCCGACGCGGAGGCTGCAGGGAAAAGAGGGAAATCCCAGCCCCGGGTGGTGGGAGAGGGGAACGGCTGCGGGATGAGCCCCCTCCCCGCCATCCGCCCGTCCTTCCCCGCCGCTCCAGGTGATGACGGACGGCTGCGAGACGGTGGACATGACCTTGAGGAGAAACGGGCTGGGTCAGCTGGGTTTCCACGTCAAGTACGACGGCACGGTGGCCGAGGTGGAGGATTACGGCTTCGCTTGGCAAGCCGGTCTGCGGCAGGGGAGGCGGGCGGGGGGGATCTGCAAGGTGGCGGTGGTGACCTTGACCCACGACCAAATGATCGACCTCCTACGTACCTCCGTCACGGTCAAGGTCGTCATCATCCCGCCCCACGAGGACGGAGCCCCTCGCAGGTAGGTGGCGGCCACCGTCGCTCCGCAAGCCCGGCTTTTCTCCCGAAGCTTTTGAGGGCAAAGCCCCGCAAAAAGCCATGGGGGGGGGCGGGCCCGGAGCAGACCTCACCCACAGGGCCCTGCCTAATTAAGCCTAATTAAAGCCAATTAACATCTCCAGGCTTTGGAGAATATCCCCTTTCTGTCGCTTAATACAGTGCTGCGTCCCGCTGGTGGGGAAAAACCCCTTCCCGGCAGGTTTTGGGGGGGCCGGGGCGGGTATTTTTAGGTTGGGGCGTCCCACTTTTCCCATGCGTGGCCAAATCGGTCACGTCCGCGTGACCTCGACCGCCGATACCATTAATTAATCATTAAATCGTAATTAAATAGTCAGGGGAGGACGTTGCTTTGCCGGGGGATGGGGTGGTTTTGGCTAAAGCCCTGCCAGACGCTGGCGACGGTGGCACCGGCCGGCTTCGTGTGCCGTAAGCGCCGATCGCCGCCGGCTTCGCAGGGGCTGGGCCGAATCCTTGGAGATGAGCAGCGCGGAGCCGAAGGGAGAGGTGGAGAGTTTGCCGTCCGGCTACCGCCCGCCGTACCGGAGCAACGCCGGCTGGCAGTGGAGCGGGCCGGCCTCGCACAACGCGGCCCCGGCGGGGAAATGGGCTGAGACGCTGGCCCTCGGCCACGGGCAAGCGATGGGCCGGTCGGGCAAGCAGCCCCCCGTGCCGTACCGGGAGCCGCAGGCGCTGCACGGCAAGAGGTGAGGTACCGGGATGGGGACGGGGACGAGGACAGGGTGAGGATGGGGATGGGGACAGGGACGGAATGGGGACAAGGACGGGATGGAGATAAGGACAGGATGGAGATGGAGACAGGGACAGGGACGAGGACAGGACAGGGACGAGGACGGGATGGAGACGGGGACAGGATGGGGATGGAGGTGGGATGGGGACAAGGACGGGATGGAGACGGGGACAGGATGGGGACGGAGGTGGGATGGGGACAGGATGGGGATGAGGTCTGGGATGGAAATGAGGACAAGGATGGGATGGGGACAAGAACTGGGACAGGGATGGGAACGAGGACAGGATGAGGATGGGGACGGGGACAGGATGAGAACGACGATGGGATGGGGACAGGGATATGGGGACAGAGACAGGACAAGGATGGGATGGAGACAGGGATGGGGACAGGACAGGGACAGGATGGGATGGGGACAAGGACTGGGATGGGAACGAGGACAGGATGAGGACGGGGACAAGGACAGCGGGCGAGCACGGCCCAGCTCCAGGCTGTGGCAGGGAGCGGCTCCTCCGTACGCCCCGACACAAATCCGGCTGTTGGCCAGCAGCTGCCGGCCTTGCCCGCGCAGGCAGGAGCCAGGCCAAACCCCTTCTTTCCCGCTTTTCCCCACGCCTCTCCCTGGAGCCAGGCCGGTCAGCTTTCCCGAAACTCCCCATCCCACCTCCGCCTCGCCGGCGGGAGCGGAGAGGGCGCAGCCGTACCGGCAGCCATCGGGCAGCTTCTCCGCGCCGGGCAGCGCCGGACCGACCTACGCTCGCTACAAACCCTCGCCGGAGAGGTGGGTGACGGCCGCGGGGACCCTCTGGGGTCCCAAGGGTGCAAACTGGGGAGAAACAAGGAGATTTTGGGGTCCTTTTCACAGGTACGTGACCTCGCAGCGGCCGCCGTTGCCCTTCGAGCCGCACGCCGGCCACGACGGCCCCTCCAGCGGTGACTCCTCGTCCGGGGGGCTCAGTAGCCACGAGAGCACCATGGAGCGGCACAAACCGGGTAGGGGAAGGCGGGCAGAGCCCGGGGCCACCCCGCTGGACGTTTCGGTGGCCTCTCCGGTGACGCCGGCGCATTGGGGACTTGTTGCAGAACCGTTGTGGCACGTACCGGCGCAGTCCAGGTTGCCGGGAAGCGGCGGCGGGAGCAAGCGATCTGGCAGGCAGGAACCGACGACGGGCAAGGACTCGCCCAACCGACACTCCAAGGTGAGAGCCGCCCTTCGCTGCGGCAAAGCCGGACTTGGAAATTCCGTGGAGCAAACCTGGAATTCCCCACGGAGATTTGGGAAGCGAGGGGGTGGCCGGTGGGAGCCCGTTTTGGGGAAGCCCAGACGCCGGGGTGACGGGCAAAGCCGGGGACACGTGGTTTTTCCGGCAGGGTGATGCGCAATACTCGAGCCACTCCAGCAGCAACACGCTCTCCAGCAACGCCTCCAGCAGCCAGAGCGACGACCGTTGGTTCGACGTTCCCGATCCCGGCGAAACCGAACCGGATCCTTTTTCCAAAGGCGGTTCCAGCGATAGCGGCATCGACACCGCACTCTACGCCGGCAACACCGGCGGGGCCGCTCCCAAACCCCCTCGCCCGCTACCGCAGAGGGACAAGGTCCCCAAAGCCCCGCCGGCGTCTTACGTCGCTTTGCAGGACGACGGCGTCCGTCCCGGTGACAAAAAGAGGGAACCGTCCCCAACCGTCGGCACCGGCAACCAGGGTAAAGGCTACCGGCACAAAACGGGGACCCCCGTGGCTTCGGGGACCCCCGGCGGCAGCCCCGACCCGTTCAAGCAGCCCAGGTGAGC